AGAGCACAAAATTAGCTGAAATCCTTTGGAGTGACACACAGCAAAAGAGCCACAAAGCCAATGCAAACAATGAGTCAGACTCCAAAATGCAGGAGAAATGCAGCATTTCCTCAGTGATGAGTCTGTGATTAAAGATTTGCTTTGAGTAATGTAATGAGAACATTAACCCTCTTGTCATTTTTTAATCTGTTTATTTACATTTGGTTTAAACATAAGGATTTCCATTAAACTTGGGTTATCTCTTAAAATACCTAATTTAACAAACCACAATATATTGTTTTGATTTAATTAAGATTAAACAGAGCCAGCCTTCCATACCAGCTTGATGAGTTAAGTCTTTGCTCAAATGCTGCTATCCTAACAGATGATGGCAGAAGCAATCAGACTTTCCACAACAGATATGCAGCATCTTGCTGAAGACACTGAAGGATCTAAACTTCTTCAAGTAGAGCAATCTGCTCTGTCCCTTCCAGGCGGCTCTGTAGCTTGGCCTCGTCTGGCATAACAAAACAGTATTTATACTCCTCTACCTCCTTCACTTCTTCCCCCATCTTGGTAATAATCTTTGACCTATTTCTGTTTTAATCTTCCTCCTTATTCCATGTTTGGAATCAGATGATTAATTCCACGTCATACCACAAAGCAATCCACCAGCTCTCTGTTCTCATCGTCAATCTCTGATACACTGCAGAATAGCAGTCATTGAGCACTTCTCATGATCAAAGGAGTCGTTCTTATACTTGAAGTAGGAGATGTACAGTGTAAAAAGGTGGGATAATAGTACCATCCCTGTGGTGCTCCTGTGCAGCCGACTACCTGCTTAGAAGCTTCGATCTTTATATCTAAGCAACTGTTTACTTTACTGAAAGCTGCGTATAACTTAGATTCAGGAGAAGAAAGAGGAGAAAGGGAACAAAATGTTGTTGGATTTAAGATATTATGGCATTAATCACAACAGGTGTGCTTCATCTTGTCCTACAGTATATGAGATAATATTACACGAGTGGTAGTGGTAATTCTCATGCAGCACACCAGAGAAACTAGAAATTGTTTTATATTTAGTAACTATTTTACATCCCTATGAATCTATAGATTGTTACCTTTGTACTGTTTACCTATGTGTCAACTTTTTTTTGTATAAAATAAATTAAATGAATGTGTCTGAGTTGGGTATTTTAATCCAGTATTTCTTTTTTATATTTTTCAAGCAGAGCTTCTGTTTTCCCCTTTGCATCGCCCACCTGTCGTTCTTTAGCTGCAGGAAGCCATCAAGCATCCACTGATACTGTTATTCCTCATATGGTACACAGGCCCTGAACCTCTTTGTTACCAGCACTGACCAGACAATGAGAAACACAGATGGTGACATGTTCTATCCGACTTCTCTTGTCAGCTTCCAGCCAAAGTCATTATCTCAAACTGAATGTGGCACCAGTAGTAATAAATGGAACTGCTGGAATAGCGATCTGTTGTTTATGCTACAGGATGGAGTGACACACCAGGCTCCATCACCCTGAATAGAGGCTGTGAACACAAGAGACTTCATCAACCTGAACCTGATTATAGTTGAATTATTTCCGCTTTGGAATTGAGAATAACCAACCTCCTGGTTTTACAAAAAATAAAATAAAATAAAACATTCTGTAACATCTCCAGCTATTTCTGAGATGTTTCAGACTCCATGATCCAGTTTGATTCTCCACACCATCAAGAAGTAAAAACATATAATCAATCCAAAATGTTTTATTTGAAATAGTTCTTGTGTTCCTCTCATTGTCATATACAAGATATTGAGCTGCTAGTAAGAAATGGGGTTGCAATTAAAACACTCAGCTTGAACAATATTTGATCTCATATGATGTTATTTATCACTGAGGGGAGTCGGGGGAGGCCTTGCCAACCTGATCCCTGGACAATTAAACTGGCATTAGGAACAAGGAAGGTCACCTTGCTGGGTGGGGGACGGAGGCTGAGCTTGTGCCAGAGGTTGAGAAATAACAGCTTATAATCAGGCTCATCCAGTCTGAGCTCTCACCCTTGAGGCTGGATTCTCTTCTACCGTTCACTCCAGTGGATCAGAGAATTGATCCCTACACCTGTGGGTAGGGAGTAGGGCCCTGGCAGTTGTTTGAGCCTATGGGACGAGTGGCAGCACAGAATACCAGGCCTTTATCAGGACGCCCTATCCTGGGGGTGTCCTGTTGCATGGCCTGGACACTAATGTGAAAAGATGGCTGGAACTGTCTATCGATCACCACCTGGTGGTGAGTTATGTGCACTGGAAGAGGAGGAAGCCAGAGAGACTTGGCAGGCCCAAGCGAGTAGTGAGGGGCTGCTGAGAATGTTTGGCAGAAACATCATAGCCTCTCAAATTCTAGGTGGGTTAAGACATAGAGTTTGAAAGTGCCATGTTCTTCACCTCTATTATCGATGTGGTGGCTCTTAATTGTCGCCAGATGGTCTGCTCTGCCTGTTGTGGGGCAATCCATGGACCCGGTGATGGACACCAACAGTAAGGGATGCCATCAAGCCAGGCAGTGAATATCAAGCCAAGTACCATAAAGCCAAGCATGCCTCTGGGAGGAGTTTGGTGAGGCCATGCGAACAAGACTATGGATGCATCTCAAAGCGATTTTAGCAGACTGTCTATTGCCTCAGGATAGGGAAGTAGTGCTTCTCACAATATTTACAGTAGGAGTGTGGAGCTGCTGACCTAGACTGAGAAAATATTTTGAGTATCTCTTCAACTCTGCTGACATGACTGCACTTGTAGAAGAAGAGATTGGATGCTCAGAACCAGACTTGTTAATCACCTCTGAGTCACTGAGGTGGTCAAAAGATTTCACATTGGTAAAACCTCCAGCCTCCCTTAGAACTTAAATTATAGAGGTAGCACACTTCTCAACCTTCCCTGGAGGGCCTATGCCAGAGTGCAGGAGAGGAGAGAGTCAAACCTCAGTTTTCAGAGAGTGTGGTTCTGTTGGCCCCATCCAGATAAGACTTACAGCATGTTAAGTGTGAGGCAGAGATGTAGATCAGCTCATTCAAGTTCAAGACCATGATTTTTTATCTTAGATTAGAGAAGAGTTTCTGCGTCAAGCAGAGACATTCATGTACTTCAGGTCCTGTTCTTGAGTGAGGGAAGAATGGGCAGGAGACTGACAGGTGGATCACTGTGGCTACTGCAGTTATGCAGACAAGATTGGGTTGATTTAAAAATCAACCCAATCAACTCAATAGCATTTCAAAAATAAAAATATATAAATCTGTATAAGGATTTTTAAAAAGCATTCTTCTAAGCAATGCATTCTTCTTTTGAACACAGTAACTGGTAATATGAATGTTTCCTTTGGTTTAAATTAACATTTATTATATTTTCTGTTCAGTTTAATTCAAAAATACTTACTGTAATTGATCTGATCCCAAATGGAAAATAACTGTTGTAACTCTTTTTTTTTTTTCTTTTTTTTTTCTATATTTGTCATGAAACGAGGACAGATGGACCCAGTATTCAGGAGAGACAGTCAGTAGGAAAGTTCAAAAGATTTATTAAAATAAAAACAAAACAAAAGCGGAGCTGTGGCTCGCAGACACTGCAGGCGGGGGGCAGGGCACCGCCCTGGTCACTTACCTGGTTTAACAGTCCAGACCACGAGTGTCCCCAGTGCTGCAGTCCCAGAGGTGATGGTGGAAGCTGATCCTGGTGAGGGATCCAGAACAGACAGGAACAGACAGAAACAGGCAGGATCCAGATCAGGCAGGCACAGAGACAGGTGGCAGGATCCAGACTTCCATGCATCCACAGGCTTCCAGGAGGGTTCAGAGTCTTACTGGGACCAGAAGCATGACCAGTTGGTCACGCACAGGAGCGGACAGGATCAGGTGCAGATGAGCAGGCACAGTAGAAGAGGGTAGCCGAGACAGGACGTAGGAACCGGAACTTGAAGCAGACTTTAAACTGGTCTCCACCCTGGAGCCAGGCTTACTTTCATAAAAACTGAACCTCCCCCCATAATGAGCCAAAAACCCAGAGGACTCCGCAGGGGAGGAACAGTGGACGATCAGGAGACGAGACAAACACTAAAACCCTCTATCCACTGGCAGCTAGGATCCAGGACATGAACCAAATAAAAACTGAACAGAAAGACTGACAGAAAGACAAGCAATGATCTGGCACTGAATGCTCAGGCTGAACTGAATATAAACCAGAGGAAACAGGTGAGGGGAATATATTATAATTGAGGCAGGGAAGGAAGAGGGCAGGTGAGAGGAATTACTAATTAAGGGAGAGCAAACAGGCCAGATCATGAAAATATTTAACTTTTGCATTAAGCTAGAAAATCTGCAATTGTAGCCATTTTAGTCAGGGAAACAAAAGCTATATGCAAAGACAATACAGATAGGAGATATTTAGTCCATAACAAAAATCTGAAAAAGTTATAGTTGAATAATGATAAAACATAAGCATTAAGAACAATTTGAAAATTGCTGTCATCCTTGAACAGGTGCATGACAAATAATGTAAATAGTAGTCAAATAAACTAGACCATTCCCATGCAGTTTAATTATGATTGCATTATCAGTGTTTTTTAGATATTCTCAAAATAAGCCTCAGACCAAAGCTAAATACAGTGTGACAGCACAGGGTTGTTCACATATTTAAAAGGTACTTTATACATTGATATTTATAGGGGTCCAGTGTCTGTTTATTTTGTTTGTAAATGACAAATTAATAAAAACAATTTTGAGCATAATTTCATTCAGGTTTATACTACTTCTAACCAACATCTTGTGGATAGACAAATTATGATACCTTCTGTTCACTTGTTTTTGACAAAAAAAAAGGGGGGGGGGGGAAGCTAGTTAACCTGTCTGACAAGGCTTCTTATAAGTATTCATGCTGTTTAGTTTCACCTTAAATGTTTCAGAGGCAGATTTTCAGCAGTTAAAGTTGTCAGGAGCGGTCGGTCTGTGACGTCAGACTGCTCATGCTGCACCGGGCGTGGAAGCTGTCCATGGTGCTGAAACTTCATCCCGGTCTGAAATTAGAAGGTCCGTCGGCTCTAGGCAAAGGACAGATTAACTAAACCTTATAAACATACACTGGAGTAACTTTTTAACAACTTTAAAAGTTTTTATCGTTTGTCGGGGAAAAAACGCAAACTTTTTCTTCTCACCATCATGGACCTGCTTCCAGCCCAAGAAGCCGCTAAAATCTACCACACCAACTATGTGAGGAACTCCCGGGCCATCGGCGTCATGTGGGCCGTGTTCACCATCTGCTTCGCCATCATCACCGTGGTGGTCTTCATCCAGCCCTTCTGGATCGGGGATAGCGTCAACACGCCGCAGGCCGGATACTTCGGCCTTTTCCACTACTGCATCGGCAACGCGCTTACCTCTGAGCTCATCTGTAAAGGCAGCATCTTCGACTTCAACTCCATCCCTTCCCCGGCCTTCAGGACTGCCATGTTCTTCGTGGGAACCTCCATGCTGTTGGTGGTGGGCACGATGGTGGCCTTCAGTCTGTTCTTCTTCTGCAACGCAGGAAACGTTTACAAGATCTGTGCATGGATGCAGCTGGCGTCAGGTCAGACTCTTTCATCCTTACTGCCTTGTTGATTTTAGTAAACAGAACTGCAGAGGATAACAGTTTAAAAAAACTTGATTATAGATAAATTTGGCCTTTACAAAAGGGAGTGTTTGTTAAGAAAATGCAAAATTAGGAGTAAAAATTCATGCTCCAATTTTATTCTTTCTGTAAACTACTATTTAAAATCATTAGGTTTATTAGAAGCATGTCCTCGTTTTCTGTCTCAAATTACATTTTAGCTTATTTGATTACTTTATTTTTTACCTTTTGTCATCATTGTTTGTTTTTGTTATTTGGACCTCAACCTTTTCAGTAGCTTTCTCTCCTGTTTCTTAAAAAAAAAAGCCTATTGAACAACCCCATTCATTTCTTACTGTCTATCTTGCTGCCATGGTGATTCAGTAGAGAAATATTATGTGATATTTGTATCAGAGTAGGAAGACAGAGACACAGGAGGTACCAATCATTCAGTCTTCTCTTTGTATTTCGAACCAGTACCCTCGAACTGGACCTAGATGGAGAAAAAAGGGTCCAACAAAATATTTTGAACACAGAAAACAGCATATCTTGTTAGATTTTTTATGTTTACACATTATTCTTTTGAATGAAGCCGTAAACTTTTGTTGCAGTTTAAAATACAGGTTAAAATAAAGGGGTGTTTCTTTTTATTTTGTTTCATGTTTTTGTTGGTAGTTTTAACCATTTCATAAAGATAAGAAATACAGATTCCAGTGTTATTCTTTTGGACACCTTTCTTTTTCGCTCCATCTGTAAAATGTTCATATTTTTAAGCTTGTGTTGCACAGTAATTTGTTGTCAGGTATAAATGTTTACCAGAAGCTGCTTTTAAAAAAATACAAAAATAAATAACAGGAAAAGCCAAAACAACAGAACATCATCGAGAGTTTAACGTCACACCCCGGTGCTTTCCGCTAGAGATGCTGAAGTCTTTGTATCATCAGCCAGCATCGCACCTCTCCAGTTTCAAGTGTGAGATGGGTGTTCATGTGTTAGTCTTCTCTGAAACTCAGCGGGGTTTCTGGTGTCAGAACACACTCTGACACCTCTAAAGGAGGATTTGGTTGCATGTAACAGGATAAGGTGTTGGTGAGCCGTTAACTGATCCTAAACTACACAACAAGCAGACCTGAGAGTAGAAAATCTGCCATTTAAAATATAACCTTTTATAAAAGCTGCATAAATGCAGAAATTAAGAGCACATGAACATTTAGAGCAGGATCAATCAACTTTTTTATAAGACTAGACTATTTGTTTATGAAATTTAAAACTGAACTGACAAACTTTCTGAATCCCTCATTTAGCCGTGTTAATGGTGATGGGCTGCATGATCTACCCTGACGGCTGGAATGCAGAGGAAGTAAAGAGGATGTGTGGCCAGAAAACGGATAAATACGCTCTGGGAAACTGCACTGTGCGCTGGGCCTACATCTTAGCCATCATCAGCATTCTGGACGCCGCTCTCCTGGCTCTTCTGTCCTTCACTCTTGGTAATCGGCAGGACAAACTGTTGCCGGATGACTTTGAGATTGAGGGAGCAGGTAAGGGTTGTGAAAAAAGTTTTAATGCATAAATGCATTTAAAAAGATATTAAATCAGTTCATTATCAGTCAGTTGCTAATATTCATTTATTTTAAGGCCGTGATCCATAAAGAACATACATTACCTTGGCCTTGAATATTTTAATTCAACATGTTATTTAAATATAATTCATATAGCGTGAGTGTACATCATTTTCCAGTGCTAACTCATTTCCTGCAAATATGTTTAGAAGTCTGTTTAGAACCTTTAGATCAGCTCAAATCAATTCTAAATATAAACTGAACAGAGAAGTTAGTGTTTAAGAAATTGTTTAACAGTTTTTTCCTCTTGGCATTTGCAAAGAAAGGTAATCTCATGAGGAACAAATTTGTTACATCCTGGGCATACACAGGATTCAGCAGATGTATTGAAGCAGAATTCAATTCTAGGAAGAGCCAACTGAAAATTTCAGGGTAAAAAAGCAAACTTGTTTGGAAACGCAAGATTTTACACACTGCTTATTCCATTCGATGCTGGGATAAAAGCTAAAATGGAGAGAATATAATTTTCAGCAGACAAGCCGATAACCATTACAAAAGCACCTCTGATAACTGATCATGTTTAAGAACAACACTTGTAAAAAAAATATATATATATATACCATATATAATTTATATTGTAGTTTTTCTCTACATGGTAGACTGACTAATTTAGGAAGACAAAAATATTTGACTTATATTGCCTTATACTGCATGAAGGGTAGTGTGGTAGCACATCATGTAGTTTAAACTTTTCCTTTTCTTACATCTCTCCTTTAAACTCTCATAACACTCACATCATAGCCTAAATTAAACTTGGATGCAATACAGTTTACTGCCTACTGACCTGTTCAGGGTGCACCATCTGACTGCTGGAGAATGAACAATTGTTACTTTCACGTTTGAATTTTTTCCTGCTGTTAAAGCATAATTTAAAAGTCAAATAACAGACAATAAAGGCTTCTTTTCTTTTCCAGAAAACTCATGAACACATGGATAGCCATGAAAGAAGATATCCCGAATCAAGAAGTAAATCCTTTTCTCTTCAAAAGCAGTAGTGCTATTCATCCACTATGTTCATCCTGTCACCAAATAAACACATAAACAGTCATTGTGTACTGCATGAAGATCTGTTTTTATTGAATGGTGTGTTGTACAGGTTTGTCTTTAACAACTCACACAAAGTCTATGCTTTTGAATGTGACACTAATGTAAATTGTATGTCGTTTTTGTTTTTTAACCTTAAGGTCTCAGCAGATAACATAGCTTACTTTGATATGATTGGTTTGCTACACCACCACATAACATCAGATCTTACCGACTCTATAGTTAAAAACATGTACATTACTTAATTGGCCATACATACAACCAAGCTCAAACATCTCCCATACACTTTATTAAAACACAGCTACCCAGCTAAATCAATTTAGCTAAGATAAAAGATTTGTTAAAAACTGTACATAACTGTAATATACATAAAGGCAAACTCTTTGGTACAGATATATACAGTTTATTTTCCTCTTCCCCTCCTATTTTGAGCTGGTCTTTAACATTTTCTCTCATTGAAACCTTTTAAACACTAAACCTGAATTGAAAATGGTGTACGAGAATACCAGCCTCCCATGAGAACAAAACCATCTCATTTTTCATTCACTGCCTTCCCAATACCAGGTGACATTAAGTTAGTTATAGCCAAATATGCACAACTTAATGAGTGCCCAAAATACTCTAGAGAGCTTCAGAAATGACATGAATGTTGCCGCAGTCAGTGTAAATGTCAGCCTAGTGTGCAACTTTCTCAACCTACTTTACAAATAAGAATCCCTACACATGAGTTATAAGGTAAAATAATCCATTTTTAAAAAGGAACACAGCACTAATGACAATGAATGAGAAAAATAAGTCCTTTTTTAAAGAACAAAGAAAAGGCTACATATCCTTGATTTGTTTTGAGTTTTAGTGCAGGAGTGTAACAAACAAGGAGGCTTCACTAGCAGAACAAAGACAGTTTTGCTCCTGGTTGGATGGGTTGAACAGCACAGCAGCTGGAGCAGACATCAAATTATAAATCCAAATGGCTTCCCGACGTCACACGGAGAGGAGAACGAACAAATACAAAGCAAACATACACAGAAGCAACAGCTTGACGAAAACATAAGAAATGCAAAACATTGCAACAAAAAGAGAAATAAATATTCATCTGATATGCCCAAAGTGGAAAGTGATCTGTTGCAGTCTCTTAAGGAAGTGGGAAGGGAAGGAAAGGGAGGTGCAACGCCTGAACATGTCCACTAGAGGGCGAGCCAGGGGTGGCGCAAGCACTCTGCAGCAGTGGCTCTTTTCTCTGGGACCAGCTCCAGCATGGGAAGTAGGAAGTCAGAGAAGCACTCTGCTTCCTCACGGGGCCATTCATATTTCTCAACCAACACCTCCAGCAGGCCCCACGGCTTCAGCTTGGTGATGTGTTTCAAATCACCTGCAGATAAACCAAAAAAACAATCCATCACCACAGGGCTGTGATGTCACTACAAAAAAAAAAAAAACAAAAAAAAAAAATGAGAAAGACAGTTGCAAAGCTTTGAAAAAACTATTTATACCCTTTGAACTTACATTTTCTTAAAATCTAAAACTAACAAATTAAACTATTAGGATTTAAGAATTGACTTTATTTATAGTCGACAAAATGCAGCACATAGTTTGGAATTAGAGGGGAAAAAATGACAGTTTATACAACAAGCAGTGCATTATCCAGAGATTTTTCCTGTATAAGGATGACATCTACGAGATGCAGATATGAGGCAGGCTTTTTGCAGCAGCCTATTCATGGACTCAGGCACGTATCCCATTCATTTATGGAGAGTCTACACCAGACATCCACAAAGTTGATCCTGGAGGGCCGCTGTCCTGCAGGTTTTAGAGGTTTCCCTGCTCCAGCACAGTTGATTTACATTGATAGTTGATTAACAGGCTTTTGCTAAACTGCAATCACCAGAAACAGCAGTTCTAAAGCAGAGAAACCTCTAAAACCTGCAGGACAGCGGCCCTAAAGGCCCGACTTTGGGGATGCCTGGTTTACACCTTGAGATGCCAGTCTGATAAAGGAGAGTTTGGAAGTTCCATTCATAATGTAAAACCTCAATGTTAGAGGACTTCTGGGAATTTTTTGTGATAGTTATCTGACTTTGTAATTTCAGAACACCTTTAAGTGTTATTCATGCACACCTCTGACTTCACAATGACAGATATCTCCGTTTTAAAATGTTTAATCCCCTAATTAGTAAATACACTATTTACTAATTAGTATGTTTTAGTTTTGTTGACATTATCCTTTTATACCCGTACACGTTTTCTGCTGTTTCCTTTCCTAAGTCAATGCAATAAAATCCCATTGAGACACTGTATGCATTTTCTTATCAAACCTGAATGAAATTATGTCAAACCTTAACGCATAGGTTGATGAATGACTATGAATGACTCAGATGTCTTTAAACATCAAAAAGCATAATAAAGACCAATGAAGACAGCTTTACACTCCGGGATACACTTGTAAAGATGTTTAAAGCAGGATAAGGTTATACAACAATATCCCAAGACGCACACAGTTTACAGCACATTGTGCAATCCAACAAGACATGACATTCCACCTAAAAGACAGGCTGCACATGTCATAGAGAACCAATCAATCAAGAGGCTATTATCAACTCTGGAGGAGCTGCAAAAAAGCCTAACTCGAATGAATTAATCTGTCGACAGCCCAGCTACAAATCTGCCCTTTAAGGAAGAGTTACAGTCTTATGTTTACATTTGATCGCCATGTTTACTTTTTATCACTGCTTCACTTTAGAAATGGAAATGTCTTTTAAAGTGGTACTGAACAAAATATCGTTTTGTATATGCTGCGTGTAAAAAATGATAAAGTCTAAGTCTAGGATAAAAGAGCTCTGCTCAGATGAGACCAAAACTAAACTTAACACCAATTTGCAAAACTCCACACTTCCCATCAACCTAAAGACACCATCATAGGTGTGACTAATTTGCCTCATTTTCCAGTTAATTTATCTATTCAGGTCAATCAGCTCAATTCGGATTGATTCGCTTTCCTTTATGATGCGGTAATATCTCAATAGGGCGCGATCTTTGATAGCAAGGCAGCTCTTTACTTCGATTCAGCATTAAACAACACTACCTAATGCTAGCTTATAATAGTGCTGATATACTCAATAAGCCCAGCATAAAATGATTTCCTTGTTTAAAATATTAGTTATATAAAAAAAAAAAAGCAGCTGCGAAAGATGAGCCCAGTCCCTAACCAATCAGTGTTCGACATTCCTCTGATGCTGCGTTTTCACTGCGACTTGGAACAATTGGAAACCCAGGCAAGCAGGCTCTAAAAATATGAATTGATCCAAATAACTATTAGAGGTTGACGGATAGAGTTTTTTTAAGATATAAATCTAACCAATCACCTTTATGCCCTGCTAAATTTATGGGGAGGCTAATTCTTTAGGCTGATATTGTCTTCTTTCACCATTTACATAACACAAATTACTGTGATAACCATTGTTAGATAATTCATAATTATAACAAAAAAAACTGGAAAAACTAAACATTATCGATGAATAGCAAATGAATGGAGCGCCAATGCATATGTTTAACATGATATCAAGGCATGAACTTGAAAGATCAGTAAATGCATGCTCGTATTGGCAAATACTGATGCAAAAAAAACAAAAAAACACAAACTTTGACCAAAAAATATCGACTGGCTAATACATCCGTCTACCTCTAGTAATGGTTCCTCATGGAAACGTCGAAAGGAATTAATCCGCAGTAATTTGCTCTAGTTGTTACAAGTTGAAAAGGGGAAAATGTGTTTGGAGTATCCTGTAGTTGGGAAGCTTTTCTGCAGCAGAGACAAATAGCTGGTTGGATTAGATGGAAATATGTGTGGAGTGAAGACTGTTAGGATTTTTTTATTGATGATGAGCAAGTGTGATAATACCTGCCGCCTATTACATGTCAAAACTAATGCTTTCCCAAGCAGTTTCCATCTAATTGGAACAGTTAGGATAAAAAGTCAACTTCATTATGCAGGTGGCAAAGATCTGGGAATGGAATGAGAACAGTGTCCTTGATCTAAGAACAAAGTGGAATATTTTGATAAAGCTGGAGCCATGGATGTCTCCTCATCTGCAAACATGTATTAAGCATTGATGTGATGTGGCATACTAGAGATGTATAAAATGTTTCTTTAACTTTGATTCGGGACCACTCCAACGAAAGGTAAGCAGCGCTAAGCAATTTCTCTGATCTGAATAGGATACAATTTCTGTCAAAATCTGTTATGTGGTTATTTAATACGTATACATTATGAAGCGTCATTTATACAGTTTGTCCCGATTGATCTCTTCCCAGGAAAAGAACCGGAGAGGGAAAGCTTCAACGTGTAAACAAAGAGCTTTCCTTAACAAGGGCAATTCCTGAATGAATACCTGTTAGAGGCAGCTAAACACTTGAGACTGGGAGGAAAGACGGGGTCAAAGAGGACAATGAGCCCAAGCATACAGCACAGCTCACCCCGTAGATACATGTGTACAATGCAACTGGACTATTAACAAGTTGGTTTTTGACCAACACCAAATAATATAGTCTTATGGTCAGATATTACAATTAGTATCAAGTGTTGGATTATAACCTGATGTCCTTAAAACATCATGTGGTACATTTTTCCAAGGCGCTCTACCTGTCAATTTTTCCCATATTATGATGATAATTACATTTGCTGTTTATCCAATTCCAAACATCATGTATGAATATAAATAAGGTTGCAGTGTGAACAGACGTTTGGTATTTTACAATAAAATAAATTAAATCTTGATGCTTTCATTTTACCTTTCTTGGTGAAAAAATCCTTGGAATATTTGCCGGTCATTATGAGTTTGCGGGGGACACTCCCCAGCAGCTCAATGATCAGTGCTATATGGTCTAAACAGCAGAGGGTAGCAAAAAGGAAGAAAACACACAACATAATCAGAGCGTGTCTCAGTCAGGCCCACTCTGGGTAGGTGGTTGGAGGGTTGAAGGAGGGGGGCTGACAGCACATCTGAGTTGAGGGTCAGAAATTGATGCAACTGCCAGTCGTCTCCACTATTTTCTGCTGCTCAGAGAAAAAAGAAATGCCTATAATTTCCAATTCTTTTTCTTATGAGACAAATCAGTTTTCAATTGGTCTATCACATTCAGATCTGGAACAAACTGTCTGGGGTAATTCGTTTAGACTCTTAATAAAGGTGCACCAACTGCTGTTTTTTTAGGTCAGTCTTCAATATCAAAAAAAAAAAAAAATACCCTGACCTGCGAATTCTAATTTTACATCACAGTATACTTTCATTTTAATTTGCGGTATAAATTACCCAGCCCTACATGAGTATCGGCCAATCACCTGAAAACAAGGATAATGGGCCTGATCGATTGGTTCACTCCTAGTCCTGAAAATACCAAAACCCTTTTGAGGTTAGTTTCCCTCAGGAAAACACATGAACCATGCCAGCGTACCAGCATTTCTACTAGAGAAATCATTTAAAAAGGTATACAAGGAAAGCAGATGTATACTTCGAATAAATACAGTTTATCAGATTTATTATTTCAGGTTAACTCACTAACTCAAGTCAGATCCAAACATGAAGTTTAGGAACATTTATTTGCACTAGTTTAGCAGTCTAAATGAGGGGATGTTTTCTGTGCCCTGTTAAAACATTAGCTGTCATGTTTTACTGACTGCTGATAAGTGTTGATTAATAAGTACATCCCAACAGAACCCATGTGAGGAACCAACATTAAACTGCTTACTTTGGTCAGCCTGTTATTAATGATGTTTGTTTTGTTTTTTAATAGTAAAATAGACCTAATAAAATCTTATGACATTTTATTAGAAATGTGTCATCTTGCAAGACAAATGTGTTGTCTCCTGAAAATACATCTTGCAAGGAGTCAGCTGCAATGAAGTGCAGTGACGTTTATTACGTCAACGTGTCCACCAGAGGTGGAAGGCTGAAGCAAAATAAACATGGCTGCACTGGTTTTAGCTGGAATACCCTATATTTCTTTCTGAAAAAAAAAGAGCAAAAGGATGGGAATTTTGCCTTTGTGACTCGTTCCTCCCGACCTGATTTGGTAGGAATTTAAAAAACCCCGCTAGTTGTGAAACAAATTAAGCTCCTATGTTTTCTCCTTTTAATGTATTTTTGATATTTTCCACATGTAAGAGTGCTGTCAGGACCTTTCTCCTTTCATCCTCATTTCCACATTTCCCAGAGTGAGCCATAGACAGAGGGGTGGCGTACCTCTCTTGGTGAAGTATTCCTGCGAGTATTTCCCACCCAGAGCATAATGGCGAGGGATTTTACCAAGCAACTCTATCATGAGAGCAAGGTGGTCTGGAAATGAGGCACGGAGAGAAGAGAAGAGAAGAGAAGAGAAGAGAAGAGAAGAGAAGAGAAGAGAAGAGAAGAGAAGAGAAGAGAAGAGAAGAGAAGAGAAGAGAAGAGAAGAGAAGA